AGATATTGGCAAAATGCCTCTTCCAGAAAACTCCTCTGCATTATCAATCAGGGCTTCCTTCACTGTCTCATATCCATGCAACACCACTACAGGATTCATGCCAAAATACACGGTGAACACAGGACCATAGACTTTTGAGAACTGGGAAAGGAAATGCAAATAGCAGCAAAATAAGTCGTTATTTGCTCCAAATATTACGTATGATTCAGACTGATATTTTCATTGTATTTTTTAATGTTTATATTTGCCACACATAGATTCAATATTTCTGAATTTTGTACATAAATGTGATGGTGATTGTCATAGCTGCCACTTATAGATGACCTATGATATGCTATGCAATAACCCAGGCAATTGGTACACAAATCACAGTTCATCCTCACTTCAACACATTGAGCACATTCATTTGCCCTGTTTTAAAAATGAAGAAACTGAGGCCAGAGAATTCCAAATTCATTCTCAGAGTCCCACGGGTAATATATAGAAGTTCCAAACTTGAACCTCTGCTAATTTAAACTGATGCTTGAACAATTTATCACTCCCCCATGTCCACCTTGAGGCCAATACCCGGTTAAGGACTTCAGGGTCACCTGTAAAGCTCTTACCATGAGGATTCTGATTCAGCAGTCCTGTGATCAACCCTAGAAATCTGTATTATCAGTGTCACCCTAGGCAATTCTGATGCCCAATCCAGTTTGTAACTGCTGGTATTACCAATACGGAAAGATGAAGTACCACAAAGTTAGAATCAGGACATTCAGCAACTCCTGAAAAAAGAATTTCTTCCATTCTCCAGCAATCTTGACCACAGACAGTGACTTTGTTCAGAATCCAGAAGAATTATGTTAACCACCAATTGGGCCCCGACTGATTACTTCTTTCTTTCATGCATATATGCTTCTCCTGAACCCACAAATATTTCTGTCATATCAGCCATCAAATGAATCTTCAGAGAAGTTCAATTTTCATGACGATTCTGAATAAAACACATGACTACTGCAGTAGAGGACTTATTGGATGAAATTTCTAATCACACACATTTACCTTCACCTTCAGTCAAAAATCATAGCAAAACACTCTGAAACAAAGAGGTGAACAGCACTTCCAACTTTTGACATTGTATTAAATGATTCTATCATACAATGACCCCAGTGATTTTGTATTCACAAAATGCATCAACTCACTCTACTATTTCTGACAATGACAGACTTAGAAAGACAAAAGAAACATCAAAGAAGTTCAGAGGGAGTATTTTGCTTTACAATGATCTATTAAAATAGAGTGCTTCCAAGAATATATTTTGTCTAAAAATAGCAGTCAAATAACTTACCCTTTGCAAGTGACTGGAGGAACATAAAGCATACTTACATTGCTGAAAGATTTGCAGATGTCCTTAACATCTATCTGTAGCATATTTCCAATAATAGGAAGAGGAGTGGGGCCAGGAGGGAGCTTCCTTCTCCCAGAGCTCTGTCTCCAGAGTGAAAAGAGAAGCACAAAGGAGAGACAGAGCACCAGGACCACAAAAGGATCCATTGAAGGCTTCTCTTCTTACTAAGACAGCTGAGAGCTTGCACTCCAAGGCTTTTATAACACTCCCTGCTAATTCAGTGTGTGTCTCTTTGACATGTAAAGTAAGCAATCACCTAGGTCCAATTTATACTTTTTTTCTGTGTGGACTTTGGCCCATGGATAGAGATAGAATGTTCTTTTGTCCTACTCCTTCTTTGCAGTGTCCATCCAGGAGATTCTGATTTCATTATATTGGATTGGAGTCCAGGTATTGGTAATTAGAAGTCCTGGTTGTTCCAATGTGCTGTGATGATGGAGAAATACTGAAGTAAATGATTCTATGTTTGAAAATACTCAAAATTCAATATTCTCAGATTAATGACCAGTTAGGAATTTATGACTTTGAGGGAAATCAGTGTATTCTGTATGTCGTGTATAAAACATGCACATTGTAATGCTATATCAAAAAATAGAAGACTTAACCCTTGATAACAAAAGCCTTTCAAATATTTAGTATAGTTCACTTAAAATACAACTGCCTAAACATGAAATACTGAATATAACTCATACATGTTGAATGACTGCACATATATCAAAGTATTAGCTAATAAATGTATATTTATATATATTGAATTGTATATAAATAATATATACATAAATATGTATTTATGTTATTACATAATAATATTTATGTTATTACATTATTGTAATAATAGGTGATTGTTTACATGTCAAAGAGACACACTGAATCAGCAGGGAGTGTTAATACATTCTTACATAACATAAATACATATTTATATTATTATTAAATATTATGTTAGACATATATAAATGTATATTCACCATTAAAAGAGACTGAAATGTAGAGATTATCATTTTTTATTTTTCAAATGGGGAAAGAAACTCTGGGAGAACAGGACACCTGTCAGTGCCACACAGTTCATCGCTGTTAAACCGGGATTTGAGCAGAAATCTTCTGATGCCCATTGGGGTGCATTACCACTTGCACCAGAGCTGGTTCAAGAACAATTTTGGAAAAACAAAACAAACCCCAGACATTAGTTACTCTGAAGATACACCACCTTGACTCTGTTCAGAAAGCAACAGGCTTCACATTAAATAGAAGTCCATTATTTGTTTATAAGGATAAGAGGACCAGAGATACTCAAAAGAAGAAATAAAAATTGGAGTTCTGCCCTCTGCATCACCTCACAAGTGAAAGTTGTTCAGCACTATCAAGGAAAGGGCCAACCTCACATAATTTATGGCAGAGGGCTTGACAATCTATGGCTTCTCCACCTCCCAGTCACTTCCAGACACGGCTGCTTCTATTGTTTTTGGTCTGTTATTGTTACAAATAATAGAAAGTAATCGTATACAGCAAGGAAGAGAAATTATATACAGAACAACAGTTGTGGATTCAATAGAAGATGGGACACAGGGAAATCATTGAATGGACCCAGGGCACAGAACGACTGTAATGTGCAGACCTGAATGGGAACTGATAGTCAATGGTCATGAAGATCTGAATTCAACTGAAAGTATGAACTTTTCTAGATCACTAATGACAAAGTGTATGTAAAAAGGCATGCTCTGAAAAGATTACCTTTATTCTAAATTGACTAGTACAGTTATTTCCAGCTCTTTCATTAAGAAAATATGAAGACCCAGTTATACAATGTTTTATCGATTATGTTTACAGACATTATGACAAATTTACAGAGAATTTTCACACTTACCACATCTCTTTTTATTCTCTCAATTATCTTTGCCCCCTGTAAAATTATTCCCAGTTTAGAGAGGAGAAAGTTAGACCATGGAGATTCAGTACTTTAGCTAAGGGCACACAGAATGCAAGTGACCAAGCTGGGACTGTAAACCATAACTCCTGCATCTTGTTGCCTTCCTTTTAAGCAAAACATTCAGTTAAACTGGGGCACCAAGATTTACTAAAATTCAACACTTGTGGATTAATCTAATCAGTGACTTTCAAAATAAACATTAATTTAGTTAATAATTCTAGCACCAGTTGAGTAAAATGTAGGTCAGACGTGTTTGGTTTTATAACCTTTAAAAGGTGAGTGAGTCCAGGTCCTGGTGAACCCTTTATCCAGGGCAAAGGGAAGCAGTAATTTACTGCCTCACTCACATAGGTGTAAGTTAGTTTATTTGGATAAAATAAGTTCACTTTCTCTCTTTAGAGTAATAATTTTATCCTTGAGAGACAGTTGTCCTTGCTCTCCTCCTCGTTTCTTCTCTTGAGCTGAGGCTCCTACCTTGACCTTTCTTTTTATAGAATAAAAGCAATGTAGATCATTTAAAGACAAATAGGATCTCTGAGATCTACTAATTTAATTTTGCTTTGTTTGTCAGGAATGAGCAATTGACGACTCAGTGAGTCAATACACCAGTAAAAGATTTTGTATTAGAATCCCAGTTTTCCTGCTTGGTGGTTCAGTGAAATACCCCATCTCATAGAATTCCCACCTGAGTCCAAATGATCAAGAGTGTATTAGCATTAATTAAGCCCTCTACAGTCACAGATTAACACCAACCTCACCTTGGTTAGAGTTGTGAATTAGAGTGGGGTTTTTTAAATTAATAGAATTTATTTTTATAGCAATTTTAGGCTCCCAGCAATAGTTCCCACAAACCCCTTCCCAGCACCTACAAATAGTCTTTCCCACAATCAACAACCCCAATCAGTGGGGTTCATTAGTTACAGTCAGTGAACCAACAATGAGACATATCATCAACCAAAGTTCAAAGTTTACATAGGTTTTACTCTTTGTGTTGTACATTCTATAAATTTGACTGATGTATAATGCCATATATCCATCATCGTAGCATCATACAATATAGATTTGCTGTCCTAAAAATCCTCTGTGCTCTGCCTATTCTCTCCCTTCCCTGCAAGTCCTTGGTAAGAAGTGAACCATAGTTCACTTTAGTGTTGCCATAATTTTGCCTTTACTGTAAGAGATTGTTATATAGTTGGAATCACACAGTATGTAGCCTTTTCAGATGGGTTTCCTTCACTTACTAATAATACGCAAAAGGTTTCTCTATGTCTTCTCATGGCTTGAAAGCTCATTTCTTCTTGCCACCAAATAGTAATATAATAATATTCCCTTGCATTGATGTACCACAGTTTATTCATCTAGTGAAGGATATCTTGGTGGCTTCCAATTTTGACAATAATGAATAAAGGTGCTATAAATGTCCATGTGTAAGTTTTGTGTGGATGTATGTTTTCAACTCATCTGGCAAATATCAAGGAGCAAAACTGCTGGATCATATGGTAAGCATATTTAAGTTTTGTAAGAAGCCACCAAACTCTCTTCCAGAGTGTCTGTAACATTTTGCATTCATACCAGCAAAAACTAATAGTTCCCATTGCTTCAAATCCTTGCCAACATTTGGTTTTATCAATGTCTTAGATGTTCTTATTGTAAAGGTGTGTGTCATTGTTGTCTTCGTTTGCAGGTCCCTAATTATTTGTAATGTTGAACAGTTTTCATGTTTCTTTGACATCTGTTTATCTTCTTGGGTGGGGTGTCTGTTCAAATCTTTTGCCCGTGTTTCTATTAAGGGTGTCCAGTTTTTTATTGTTGAGCTTTAAGAATTCCTTGAATATTTTGGATGAGAGTGTTTTATTCTTATAAAGATATATTCTTGTATCTTTTGGAAATATTATTCCTCTATAAGATGGACTTCTCCATCCCTTGATAGTGTCTTTTACGGAGTAAAACTTTTTTGTTTTAACAAAGTTCAGATAATTGATTGTTTCTTTCACAAATTATGCGCTTGTTGTTGTATTTGAAAAACCATTGCCAAAGTCTTCTATATTTTCTCCTATGTTATCTTCTCAGAGTTTTATAGTTTTATCATTTTTATATGCCTATTTGCCATTCATCTGTCTTCTTTTGAGAAATATTTATTCAAGTCTTTTGCCAATTTTTTGATCAGATTATTAAATATTTTTCTATAGAAATGTTTGAGCTCCTTATGTATTCTGGTTACTAATCTCTTGTCAGATGGGTAGTTTCCAAATATTTTCTCCCATTCTGTGGGTTTGTCTTCACTTTGTTGA